TGAAGAGTTGTCACTGCTCTCTCTTTTTAAATACTCACAAATAAGGTAGTTTTAAATAAGCTATTGCTTTCATGTAATGTTTTGTTAGGACTCACCAGCTGGACTTTTGTATTGTGGAGTGGTGAGCAGTTCTTTTCCTTCGGTCTGTTTTAGGGATGTCCAGATCCATCATTTTTTACTTCCGATCCCGGCCTATCAGAGCATGTATTAAAGTTTAAAGTTATTTATCTACTTACTTAGTTGTCAGACTCATGTTGAGCAGGGATTTACTCTGATAACAACTTAATGGTTTCGCATTTATGTTGAAAACATCTGTCTTTTTTAAAATAGCGCGTCTTAATTATTAATTCAGATAAAATTAACTTTTAGTAATACACTCTGCCACTCACCTTTTTTTTTCTTAAACTCAAAATTCCAAAATATAACTCAAGAAAGTGTCAAAATAACTGTAAAATAATGGATTCCGATATCTAGCTTTTTCCCCATTCAGCTTTTTGCACTTCCGTATTAAAGTTATTTATCTACTTGCTTAGTTGTCAGACTCATGTTGAACAGGGATTTACTCTAAAAACAACTTAATGGTTAGGACACAGACCTGTGTGTCACAGATGCTAATGCTAATGCTGTGCTGGAAAATGACCGGACATTAGGGAACAACGCAGCAAAGTGGTTTATTTTAATCCATCTTTTTTCACTTCCGATCCAATCCGGATCCCAGCCTATCAGAGCATGTGTTAAAGTTATTTAAGTTTAAGTAAGTTATTTATCTACTTACTTAGTTGTCAGACTCATGTTGAACAGGGATTTACTCTGATAACAACTTAATGGTTAGGACACAGACCTGTGGGTTACAGATGCTAATGCTAATGCTAATATGGGATTGGAGTCTGGATCTGCATTTTCTCCTTCCGGCCGATCCGATCCAGATATCGGATCGGGACCAGCCTGGTCTTTTTGCTGCCATTTGTCTCTTAAAACCGAACGTGTTTCCTGATGTGGTTCCAGATGTGGGTGGGAAGGTCATCCACCTGGTGGAGCGGGCCCCCCCGCCCCCCTCCCAGCCGGGCTCCGGGTCGGGGGGCTCCTCGGCCGACAGCGGGCCGTCCTCCTCCTCCCCTGGAGCCCCGCAGCCGCCTCCCCACGACCGAAACGCCAACAGCTACGTGATGCTGGGCACCTTCAACCTGCCCGTCAACATCATGGACCCCCAGCAGATTCAGGTGGGTCCGCTCAGGCCCGGGACTCCCTCAGGCTCTTTGTGTTGACCTAAAGGTGGATCTAATGCTACAGAGAAAGAAAAAGAGAGTCTGTGGACACAGCCAGAGACTTTAACACAAAATGTAGTGCCATTCTCTAATGCATTTTTAACTCATTGGCTGCCAAAGACGTCTATAGACGTCTTTTATGTTTTTCAACGCGAGTGGCTGGGGGACGATCTGCTAAAGCTTGTCCGTAAATATCAGGCTTCTAGACAGAGTATGTAGTAACAAATTGACCCTCTAGGGGGCAGTGCCACTTTTGATGGGAGATGAGCATAGACTGTAGGCAAATAAGAAAAAGGGAACGGTTCTATGAGAGAACATGTCGCCGGTGAGACGCAAGTCCAGGAAGAACGGAATAAGGTAGAAACACATTTTTTTTCCTGATGAAAGAAGAGAGTCTACTCTTTCTTTTGGTGTGTTCGGTGTTTACATAGTCAGAGCACAAACTATTCTGTGGCTCTTGAAAAATCAGTCAAAATGCTAAAAAAAAACTCTGGCAGTATGGGACTCTGTTCTGAAAATGGCTGGCAGTCAATGAGTTAATATTGAACGATATAACCGTGAAAATAAGGGGTTTTTTCTGCTGTAAGAGGCTTTTAAAGGGAGAAAAATGAGGGCAGAAATGT